CTGCCCAGCTTGCCTAACAGCTCCCGACTCGAGCACCTTTTCCTCTCAGGAGCGCTTTTCTTCCATTTCCCCTTCTGAGCAATAAGATCACTGTTCACTTCATCCCTCTGCCTCTGCTGTGCGAATTCTTTCACAGTTGGTGGCAAGACCTCACACTTTGGCGGGCCTCCTAATTTAGGGGTCCCTCCATCTGCTAACAGAAGCCTCCACTGCCATTCACGCACCCTGCTTCTGACCCTTGGAGGGTCATGGGGCTCTGAGATCACAAGGGAGCAGATGCTAGAAAGGGAGGGATTTCCCCCTCCTGCAAGTCCTGAAGATAAAAGAAACCCTGGACCTTCCCTGATAAATCGCCCTTCTTGGTTTTCCTTGTGCAGGAACTATTTTCCGTGCCAGGTGAATACTTTCTAGGTCCCAAATGAATACAGTGAAGAAAAGGTTAAGTACTGTCAAGGAAGATTCGCGGGTTTCTTCATTCTAGAAAAATGATTCAGAAGATTGAAGTTTACAAACAATCTGCTTATTCTATAAATAAGATCAGATTCAGAACTTTTCTTATCACCTCCCTCTGAGGTACTTGCACTCCAAATTGTACTATAAGACAGTAAATTGGAGGTAAATTTTTGCAAATCAAGACAGATGCAGGTCCATGTCCTTGATTTCCCACTTAACAGCAGCAGGGACTTTGGGAAATGTCAGCCTTTCTAAATTCCTTGTCTATAAAATGGAGGAGAATTAGAGCGCCCCCAGTGCAGAGCCAGTGTCAAGGGCTTGGATGCAGTTAGTTTACTAGGGCTGGTGGTGAGGGTGATCTCAGAAAGCAGAAATGTAGGAGGAAAGAAAATGAAACAGATATGGAGGAAAAGCCAGTATGATGTGTTATTGGGCTGGTTACTATTCTGGTCAATTGAGACTCAGGCTTGCCAGAGACCCTCTGAGAAATCCTACGAGTGTACCCCCGAATCATCCTCTGAAAGGTGGGCGCCTGAGATATTTATCCAGACTCTCATCCTCATTGGTTGTGGACTGCCCACCCCCCCGGGGGAAGAATGAGTCATCACTATAGCTGTGGCTGAAATCAGAAGTGGGTCACTGGATGTGACATGAGTCCAAAGATGTCTGCTCTGGGAAATCAGTAATGTCCATGTTGTAGAGTTACTGTGAGAATTAAATGCAAGGGTGTCTATACAATGTTTAGCATCATGCTTGGCACATAGTTAAGTGCCTACTGAGTGTTCACTCTATGTTTGCTGTCACTGTAATTATCATCATCACTGTCATGATTTTTACCTTTGCACTTTCTTGAATGAAAAGGACAGGGGTACATTTATGGCTTAGGGGACTCCAGGAATGACGCATAGCCCACAGCCGGTCTCCTTTATACCATGATTACCTTGCCCTGTGGCCAACTGTTATGATTATTATGGGTTATTATAGTATTTTTGCTTCCTCCCTTTGTGTGTGTGTGTGTGTGTGTGTGTTGTCAAAATTTGGGTACAAGAAGGCATATTCTGTCATTTGCATGGGGTGGAAGAAAGGCTGCTCACCATCACTCTGCAGCAGCCCTGGCCAAACTTCCCCGAAATGATGGGAAGTTTCTCTGTCTCTGACGTCCATTCCACTGGGCCCTAGCTGCACGTGGCACCTGGGCACTTGAAATATGGTTAGTGGGGCGGAGGAACTGAATTTTTTCATTTTATTCAATTCTAGTTAATTTAAATCTAAATTTTAAAAGCTACATGTGGACACAGTGGAGGGCAATTAGAGATGGTGTTCTCAGTGGATAATGGAATGGACCCCTTCCCTGGGGCTGAAATTAAGGTAATGCAGTCAGCAGTGTATTTCCTCTGGCCCCTGGGCCCACAGGGGCCCCAAAATCTCACATCCAGGTTGGAAAGGGGCAATATCTTCTAGGCCAAGGGGCTGCCAGCTAAAGAGAATGAAGTCATGGGGCCCTTGAGCAGGAATTAGTCGGAGGAGAAGAGGCCACAAGCTCCCTGCAGCTTGGTCCAACCTTCCATGCACAGAGCTGACTGCTGACCATCGTGCGGGGAGAGCTTGGTTCTCGCTGCCTGTGGCAAGCTCACTAGACCAGTTTTTACAGTTATGCCCCTGCCTTGTCCCATTTCTCTGCGGGCATCTGTCCCGTGCTCAACCCATCAACAACCACTGCAGAGTACTTACTGTGTTCCCAAGTGCTGTGCTAGGTACTGAGTCACCGAGGAGCATTAAAGAAGGGCCTGTGCAGCTGGTGTTCTCTACTCCCTGGAAAACTATAGCTTACCCCGAGAGACCAGATTCTCCCCTCTTTGGATTGGTAATCCACCTCTGCCCTCCTCCCCTCAGCTTCCTGTGTCCTAGAACTTCTCACTGTGAGATAATTACCATTTATGTGTCTGCTTCCTCCACTAAACCACGAGCTCCACAAAGGCAGGGCCCGCGGTGTCTACCTTAGCATAAGCCTCCAACATAGTCAAATGCTAAGTTGTTTGGCACCGATGATAAGGGTTGAACAAGGAAAGTGACAGGTTAAGTCCCCAAGTCATTGACAGACAGCATGGAATTCAGACTGGGCTCAAAAATGAGATTTGTTTACTTGGGGAGTTGAGTGATGGCTTTCCTGAGGAGGTCACCTCCTAAGCAGATGCATGGAGGTAGGATAGAAGATGTTAGATTTACAGGAGGCAGGATGAACCAGGGGAGTGTTTAGGAGAAAAAGTAGGAATAGTTGTGTGGGCTTGACTTCCCAGGGCCTTGCCAGCCAGGCAGTTGCAAGTGTATCTGATAGGTTGACAGAAGCACTGGGAGCCAGATTACTCTGAGATGCTAGGTGTGGTGAGGTCTGAGTTACATCAGTGAGTCTGGCAAGATGTGGTTGGCACCAGTTATTTTTGCCCTTTACCTTTCTCTAGTACAAGTACTTCAATGTCCTTGGAAACTCCGTCCTGCCCATGTGGTGCAGTGACCCTACCTCTATGCCCAGGTTCAGGGATGAGTGGGTACATGAATAAGATCCAGCCAACAAAAGTCTTAGGAAGTGTCTCAGGGATACAGCCAGAGACTTTCACTGGAGCTGCTGTTATCTTTCTTCGGTCATTGTTAAACGGGTGAGATGTAAGCCTGGAGCTGCTGACACTCTCCTGATGCTTCAGGGAAAGAGCCTGTATGAGAATTAAACCAGCACAGAGGAAATCAAGAGTCAAGAGAATAAAGAGATGTCTGATGAGATCATCTGAGCACCTGGATCCAGCCGAACCTGAAGTGGACCCTATTTCTGGGCTCTTCCGCTTTAGCCAGTTTCAGCTAGGTTCCTGCCACCAGCAACCAAGAGAGTCCTGCTTATGAATACTCAGGGGTAAGTGGGATGGCTTAGAGTGGGAGGAGATGAGAGTCGGGGGTGACAGCGGTGGGTCACGAGGTGAGAAGGAGTGATCTAGACTTTTCCTCTCCTCGAAAATTGTGCCAGTGGGGCATAGTGATTCTTCATCACCTCTTCCTTCCTGATGCCCTTTACCTGCCTTCTTTCATTTGGCTTAGACAACTGTGTGAATCAGGTACACCTGACCCTTTTATAGCATGGAGAGTTAAAGGACTTGGCTAAGGTCACACAGAACCCTGGGGCTTCGTTCTCATTCTCTAGCTTATGCTGCATGGGCTCTTGCTTGTGCTCAGTATGCACTGAGGTCACCAGGTACCATCTCTCTGTCACCTTGGGGTGGAGGTGCACCCCGCCTCCAGCTTCTTTCATCATGGACGTGGAGAAATAGTAGGAGTTCATACTGAGGAAAGGCCCGGGCGCTCGTGACCCTCTTCATTAAAAATAAATTCTGCCTGAGTCTCCTGGTTCTAAATAGAAGAAAATGTAGATTTGGGGCAGAACCGAAGGGAAAGGGATTTCCCTTGGCAAATTATTTGCAATTTGTGGATTGGAGCTGACCCAGCTCCAATTCCCACGTCATCATGAGCGCTGTCGAAAATGTGAGCAGCTTATTAAAGAACCAGAGCTGGAGGCAATCCTCCCCCGGGGGCCCAACAGAACAGGAGCACAGTTAAAACCCACCAGCCGCCTCCTCCCAGCGTCTCAGGTCCAGGAGCTGCTGAGAGTCTCAGCCACAGGTCACATGTTCACTCCAGGGCAGCCACTTCCTATAGCTGTGGGAATAAGAGTCAGCATGTTTACAGTGAGTTTGTGCCTTTTGTGAGGCATAATGAAAAGCCAGCTGTCGCGAGTACTTAAATTAGTGGCCCTCAGCCTATAGCACGCAGCAGAGTGCATGTTCTTTCGCACAAATGCTAGCAGTTCTGAGTTTGGGGGGGCCCCAGTGTCTGCCTTTTTAATAGGCATTCCAGGTGATTCTGAAGCAGGTAACCCAGGGGCCACAGTCTGAGAAACAGTGATGTAAGTGGAGGAATCCACAGACTCCAAGTGGTCCCTTCATCAGAGGTTTAAAGACGCTTCTGTGGCAGGCACACGTCCCAGGAGATCCAGCATCTCCTTCTTTACTAACAGGAGCGATTACTAGCATCATGTGAGGGACATACAGAGGGCTTTCTTGACTCAGAATATCTCCGAGGAGCTGTGAATGTAGAGTGCTAAGTATTTACTTTCTCCAGTACTCCTTTCAAGTCACGAGAGCTTATGGAAAAGAGCCCTTCTGCGTTCATTTTGTTGTTGTTGTTTTTGTAAAGGAAAAGTCCCGCTGCAGCACACCTACAGCATGTTCACGTGCAAGTGTAGCTCACCTGTCCTCACGGCCCACCCAGCCTGCCAGAGCCTGGATCCTTCCATCAAACTTTCTCTGCCTCCCTCAGGGAGAAAGGCTTTTAAAGACAGTTTTTCCTTCCTTAGGTGCCTCTATTAACCTAACCCTAAAGAAAATCCATGAATTCCTGTTGCTTCATGCATCTTGTTACATGTCAGCATCTTTCTCAAATTAACCACAGAATGGATGGGTGAGGTGGTCCACAGGCCTTCACAATAAAATCAACTGCATATGAAATGAATCTGAAAATTCCATTTATTAAAACAAATACATTGTCCACATGGGATGAAAATGTACACATCACATTCAGGTTCTTCTGCTTTAACATTTCTGTATTCCCTTCTCTTTGAAAGACACACTCCATAGATCTCAAATAGGAAAAATGGGAACAATTCTCGAGCTGGGAAAACATTAATGTATATGTAACAATTCACCATTGCCAGGAGCAGCTAGAAGCAAATATTAAAAAAAAAAGTACAAAATCCCCTAAGACAGCATGCTTGGTTTCTCAAAATTCCTTCTGAGAATAGGAGAGTATGGAGAAATAGTTTTTAATTTTTCCTTGGTAAGCAATCTCTTTCAAATATTATTAGCAAAATTAGCCTCAGTTCAAAGTACTGATTCACAACCTCTGGCTTAAATTAAATAGCACTTGATTTAAAATAGAAAGAAAAAAAAGAAAGCAGATTTAATATTGAGGATGATGAAGACTGTTTTTTTTCTTAACAGAGTTTGCATTATAAATACAATGGTTATTACTACTGTTTAATGAGTTCCATGGCAGATTTTCATTACTATCCAATATATTACATACATAAATTAGGGCCTTGAATGATTGAGCTAAGTTTTCCTATTGGTTAACCTTTAAGATAAGATTATGCTGGTGAAAATGATTGTAAAATTTCTAAAAGAATTAAAACTCTTTAGAGGCATAAGTCATCAAAAAGTTATTTCCCTCTTAACAAGTAAAACTACCAGTAAGTCAAATCTCATATAAAAACTCTGGCATTATAATTCCATAAAGTAGGACATGAAATTATGAAAAAGCTAACACATTTTTCTTAAACTTAATATCTGATGGCTGTGTATTTTCTGCCTTCTTTCCCCTTTGATAAACAAGGTCAAATGCAATTTGGAACTTCCTTAACTTTTAATTACCAGAGTTGTATTCTTAAAAGTTTTAATGCCATTTTAATTGCTCCAAACATCTAGATTTACATGAAAATACAAAGAGGCCTTCTGAGAAAAATAAATGGATTATGGATTATGAAAAGCATCAGGGTCTTATAATAATGCCTTCATCACCACCAAAGGGTGCTTTATTCACAGTTGTTTTTATGTGACCACATACTCCATTCATATTTTGGCTCATTTGAAAAACGTGGTTGGGTTTTAACTGATTCCACAGTATTACTAAGCCAATGGTACAATACCGTAGTTTAATACTCTGCCAAGGTTTTTTCCCCTCTAAATCTTCATCAGTGTCCCATGACTGTAACAAAATCCCAAGGTTTGAACAGAAGTATCTGGTTACAGAAGTGCATTCATACATTTCACAGTGTCTCCCTAGGCATGAGTTTTAATTGGATGTATTGATTCTTTTACCATTATGCTCATACAAGGAGCTAAGGAAAATATTAATCAAGTCTGTTTCAAGATCTGTCCTTGGCATATTAAGCCTTTTTCCCTTCCTTTCCACCTTTTTTTTTTTTTTAATGGGAGGAAGAGAATGGAAAGAGAATAAAATTAATTCAGAAATGGACTTTTGGGATTTCGAAGCAAACAAGGAGCTGTAAAAGAGCCCTCATTTGCCTAGGAATGACACAGAAAAAAGTGAGAAGGACTTCCAGGGCCTCCCATTACCGGTGGAGGAAAGAGCCACAAAGAAATGTCACTTTCAACATCATCTCTTGGGGAGAGAGAACTCAAGTTGCAAGGGCGTTGTAAATAAAGACAGAGCGACTCTAATAAAGCGGAGAAAAACAAAGCAAAGGTTCTACTAAAACTTTTGTTCAGTGAAAACCAAAGGCCATCTCAGGGGCAAAAACAAAACTAGAACCCTTCGTGGTGGAGCTGCTGCGGGGCGGCACCTGCCCCCTTCTCCCTGGTGGGTGAATAGCCGGGATACTGAGAGTAGGGGCTAGTCTGGAGTCGTTCGGATATTTCTCCTGCTACTTCAACGAATGAGGGCCACGTTTCTTTCTCGCTAAGAAGAGCACACAAAGCCTTCCCTCAGTCTATAATTTCTGTGATTCAGGGAAAACGAATTTGCTCTTACTCTGCGACAAAAGCATTTCCCAACTAAGGGTGAATCCTTGCCTCTGCTGCTTGGCGTTACCTGGGCTGCCCTGGGTCCTGAATAAAATCAAAATGCTTTGGATGCTGGAAGATACATCGAGGAGGCCACCGTTGACTCAACCGTTAACTCGGAGGTATTTTAGGCAAGGCTAAGGCTCTGAAGTAACCTCAATTTCCAAGATACTGAGTGTTTTCCTCCCGAGCTTCATGTCTCTCATTCCTTTTCCAAACTTTATAGTAAAACAACGAAACTTCTGAATGGATGTAACATAGGGACATTTTCATGCAGTATTACTCAAAAACTGTCACAAATATATGAAAGCACCAGTCACAACACAGGATTTACTTTTACTTGCAGAATCAAAGCTATCATGTACAAATGTTAGGAATAGTGATAAAAGAACACAGACAACCGGCATTTGCTGTTATTATTACAATGAGGATAAACCACGGGGAACATCTCCCTAAACCCTTTGGGTGATCATCCTTGGAGTTCAGTTTTACACACAAGTCCAGCCTTATCCCTTCACTACTCTAATGGGGGTGGGGGATGGAAGGAGGGGCAGGAGAGAAGGGAAAAAGAAAAAGGCACAACGACAAAACATCAATGCCATTACACCGAACCGCGGCGACACTGGACGACTCAGCTTGTCAGAGGGTATTCTAAAGGCAATATTCATTCCAAGGTCATACATATCTTAGCTCAGTACAGCTGTCTGTTTTAATTTTTATTTTTTTTTAAATATGAAGCAGGAACATAAGGTTTGGGGAGGGAGCGGGAAAGAAATGACACCGATTTTATCTTTACACATTCCCCTCCTCCAGGCAGCTCTGCAGACATCAGATCTCTTAACTCGGGGTGTGGATCAACTTCTTTAAACATGCATAGCCTGGAGTTTCCAGGATGGTTCTCCTCCCTCTCTTTAAATGCTGTGGACTAGAAAGGCGCCCACTTTGCTAAAAACTCTACATCAGTGTCCCTGGAGCCCCGAGGCTCCTCAGGCCCCACTCGAAGACTTAAAGGATAGCACAGAAAAACTTCTTCTCCCTAAATGGGTTCTCTGAAGCCGGAACAGGCGTCAGGAGGGGATCTTCCTTGGCATGCGCTTCACAGTAAGCCATCAAGTCTGCAGCTGCCTTGGACACCTGGAAAAGACGACAAAACAACCAAAACTTTAGACCAGGCACCGACGAAAGCACTGGTGCAGGCGCAGTGAGTCAAGGCTCGGGCTTGGATGTCCAACTGCCCAGGTTCAAGCGAAGCAAGATGCTCATCTTCCATAAGCCTCTGTTTCCTCATGTGTGAAGAAGGGAGGATTGTTGAAAGCAGATCCGTGATTAGGGTGAGGTGAGGGAGGCACGGAGGGCACCACACTGCAGGAGGCGCTCATGGCCAGGGCCATGCAAGTATCAACACCATAGTTGTACAGCCCCTAGAGTGGGTGTCTCCTTAAATTCTGTGTGCCAGGTGGGTCGCTTCCCTCATCCTGGTCCCAGACCTGGCAGCAAGGATTAAATGAGATAATCCACGTAAATCATTTAGTGCCTGGCACAGAGTAAGCTTTCTAGGCATTGCTGTCATGCTGGAGCTGTGCCCCTCTCTTCAGGAACTGTGCTAGGGACGCCTAAAGCCATGCTGATCTCCTCTTTCCCATTTCTCACATTTTTGTCGCTCCTTGTTGGGAGTCGCCTGGGGTACCTTTCCTCCACAGTAGCAAATTTTCACTGCTTAGGGCAGATTTAATTTTGGGAAATAAATGACAAGTCATTTGTAACCACATCTGCGAACTAAGTGGATGATCCATTTGGGGTCAAAAAACCATGAAGTCAATAGTCAGTTTCTTCTATGACATAATACACTTGCTCTGGAATTTTCACTCCAAAATTTTTCCACATCAGCGTACTAGTACAATGGCCTCTTGAAGTGACTACTGAAAAGATAATCCTCTGTTAAGAATGGGGAGATTGTATTATTGCTAAAAAGATTCACTGCCCCTCCTTCTGTGAGGATTACACATACCCACACAATGACACCAGACTTGCTCTGGCCAACGAGATGTGAACAGAAGTGATGTGGGTTACTTTGGGGCAGAAGCTTCAACAACCAATGCATAGTGTGCCATGTTCTTTTCCCTTTGCCACTTTGTCCAACTGAAATAATTTATTGTGAACCAACCTTAGGTGATTCAGAGGTTTTAATAAAACGTAGTGGTCATCCTTCTGATTTGTTCCTTGTCCCAGGATTGAGTTGATTAGAACTTTTGTCACTTAAAGGCTTTTCGACTTTATAGTTTATTGGTTGGAAATGAGAATCAATTGCATCTTCTAATCCCATTAATCTTTGGATTTTTGGACTCTATGTTCCCTTTGTCTCAGACCAGATAGAGGCAATATTCCAGGTAGAGGTTACTTGCAGGTAAAATGATGTGGAGTGGCAGTTGACTGTAATGGACACGTGGTGGAAGAAGTTTATCTTTGTTGTCACAGGCCCCCAAGAATGGGAGGAGAGGGCCTTTTGTTACTGCAGCAAAACCTAGTCTACCCTGACTGATATAAAGAGGTACAGGTATTGATATGTGTGTTATTGTTTCCTCTGTCTGCCTCAGCAAAACCCAAACTAGGTGGCTTAAAATAACCAACAATTATTCTCTCACAGTAAGTGCTAGAGGCTAGAAGTTTGAAATCAAAGCGTCAACAGGGTTGGTTCCTACTGGAGGCTCTGAGGGGGGAATCTGTTCCAAGATCCTCAGCTAGAGCCTGGTGGTTGCTGGCAATCCTTGGTGTAACCTGGCTTGTCAATATCACTCCACTCTCTGACTCCACCTTCACATGGCCTTCACATGGTGTCTGTCTTCACCTGGCATTCTCCTCAGCGTCTATGTCCAAATACTCTACCCACCAGTCACTGGATCTGGCCACTCGAATCCAGTATGACCTCTTCTTAACTTGATTATCTCTACATACACCCTACTTCCAAATAAGGTAACAGTCTAAAGTTCTAGGTGGGCATCAACTTTAGGGGACACTATTCAGCCCAGTACAGTATATTTGTGTAAAAGTCACAATTTTTTAAAATTATAAATCATGTTTTATAGATCATTTTTATTTATCTTTTTTTTCCAGTTTTATTGAGATATGTGACATACTACCTTGTGTGAGTTTAAGGTTTACAGTGTAATGATCGGATACATTTCTATACTGTCAAATGATTACCAAAGGAGGGTTAGTTAACACCTCCATCACTTCACATAATTATTTTTCATTTTATTGTGGTGAGAACATTCAAGATTTACTCTCTTAGCAACTTTCAAGTATATAATACAGTATTGTAATCACAGTCAACAGACTGTACATTAGAACTTACTCATCTTACAACTGAAAGTTTGTATATTTTTTTTGACTGCCATCTCCCCATATTCCTCAACCCTCAGGCCCTGGCAAACACCATTTTACTCTGTTTCTATAAGTTCAGCTTTTTTAGATTCCACACATAGGTAACATCATTCAGTATTCATCTTTCTCTAATATCTCACTTAACATAATGCCCTCAAAGTCCACCCATGTTGCAAATGGCAGAATATCCTTCTTTCTCATGGCTGAATAATATTCCACTGTAAATATATAACACATCTTCTTTATTCATTCATCCACAGATGGGCATTTAGGTAGTTGCCACATTTTGACTATTGTGAATAGAGCTGCAATGAATATGCAAGTATAGGCATCTCTTTGAGATCCTGATTTGATATATGTATAGTTATGAAATAAAAATAAAAATGAAAACAAATAAATATACATACATATAGCAAAAGTAGGACTGCTGGACCCTATGGTAATTTTTAATTTTTTGAGGAAACTCTGCACTGTTTTTCATAGTGGGCCAGGCCAATTTACATTCCCACCAACAGTGCACAAGGGTTCCCTTCTCTCCATATCCTTACTAACACTTGTTATTGCTCATTAGAAATGAGTGTGAAGGGATATCTCATTTTGATTTTAATTTGCATTTCCCTGATTAGTGGTGTTGAGTTCTCTTTTCACATACCTGTTAAACATTTATGTCTTCTTTGGAGTAATGTCTCTTCAGCTCCTCTGCCCATATTTTAATCAGATTGTTTCCTTGTGTGAGTTTTTTAATATAAATACCTTTGGATATTAACCCCTTATCAGATACAAGATTTGCAAATATTTTCTCCCATTCCATAGGTTACCTTTTCATTTTGTTGACTGTGACTTTTGCTGTGTGGAAGCTTTTTAGTTTTGTGTAGTCCCACATAATTACTTTTGCTTCTTTTGCATGTGCTTTTGGTGTCATATCCAAGAAATCACTGCCAAGACCACTGTCAAGGAGCTTACTCCCTATCTTTTCCTCTAGAAGTTTTACAGTTTTAGGTCTTACATTGAAGCCTTTGATCCAATTTGAGTTAGTTTTTGTGTCTGAAATAAGGCAAGGGTCCAATTTCACTCTGTTGTATGTGATTATCCAATTTTCCCAGAACCATTTATTGAAGAGACTATCCTTGTCCTATTAAACATTTTGGCTCCTTTATCAAATATTAGCTGATGGTATATGCTAGGGTTTATTTCTGGGCTCTTGATTCTGTTCCATTGTTCTATAGGGCTATATTGAATGCCATACTGTTTTGATTACTATAGCTTTGTAACATAGTTTGAAATTAGGAAGTGGATGACTTCAGCTTTGTTCCTCTTTCTCAGGATTGCTTTGACTATCTGGGGTCTTTTGTGGTTCCATATGAATGCTATAATTAAAATTTTTTATTTTTGTGAGAAATGCCATTGGGATTTTGATAGAGACTGCACTGAATGGCTTTGGGTAGTATGGACATTTTAACAGTATTAATTATTCTGACCCATGAACACAGTATATCTTTCCATCTATGTCTTCTTTAATTTCTTTCATCAAAGATCTTATACTTTTCAGAGTATGGATGTTTCAAATCCTTGTGTAAATTTATTCCTAAGTATTTTGTTCTTGATGCTACTGTGAATGGGATTTTCTTTATTTCTTTTTCAGCTATTTCATTCTTAGGGTATATAAACACAAGTGATTTTTGTATGTTGATTTTTTTATCCTGCTACTTTACTCAATTAATTCATTAGTTCTAACAGGGTTTTTGTTTTGTTTTGTTTTGTTTTTTGGTGAAATTTTTAGGATTTTCTCTATATAAGATCATATTATCTGTGAACAGAGACAATTTTACTTCCATTACTATTTGGATGTCTTTCTTTTATTTTTTTCTTCCTTGATTGTTCTGGCTAGAACTTCCAAGACTATGTTGAATAGAAGTTGTGAGAGTGGGTACCCTTGTCTTATTTCTGATGTTACAGGAAAAGCTTTTAATCTTTCACCATTGAGTAGGTTGTTAGCTGCAGGCTTGTTATACTTAGAATTTATTATGTTGAGGTACATTCCTTCTATACCAAATGTGTTGAGAGTTTTTTTTTAAATCATGAAAGGATGTTTTATTTTGTTAAATTTTCTTTCTGCATCTATTGAGATGATCATATGATTTTTATCTTTTATTCTATTAGCGTGATGTATCACGTTTATTGATTTGTATACATTTCACCATCCTTGTAACTCAGGGATAAATCTCACTTGTTTGCAGTGTATGATTCTTTTAATGTGCTACTGAATTTGCTTGCTAATATTTTGTTGGGAATTTTAGCATTCATATTTTGTCAGGGATATGGACTTACAGTTTACACTTCTTGTAGTGTCCTTATCTGGCTTTGGTGTCAGGGTAATGCTGGCCTTGTAAAATGAGTTTGGGAGTGTTCCCTCCTCTTCAACTTTTTGGAAGAGTTTAAGAATTGGCATTAATTTTTTAAATGTTTGGTAGAATACATGAGGAAAGCTATCTGGTCCTGAGATTTTCTTTGTTGGAAAGCTTTTGATTACTGATTCGATCTCCTTGCTAATAATTGACCTGTTCAGATTTTCTATTTCTTCATGTTTCAGTCATGGTAGGTTGCATGTTTCTAGAAACTTATCCACGTCTTTTAGGTTATACAATTTGTTAGCATATAATTGTTCACAGTAAGCTCATTATCTTTGTATTTCTGTGATATCACTTGTAATGTCTTTCCTTTCATTTCCAGTTTTACTTATTTGAGTCTTTTCT